CTTTACTGACTACCGTAGTCCGATCAAATGTTATTAGCGCCGAAAAGATGAATATCGAAAATAAAACTAACTTTACCGTGGTAATTAGTCTGGGTTATTATTGTTAGACTAGGAAGTTGGTTTCCCTGTAGTCTTTGAGGCTGAAGTCTTACTGTTGTGGTACTAATGTGACTTGTCTTTACAGTAATTTTTATTCATATTTTATAATCTTTAGAACTGAGAATACAGGGGGAACATCTTTAACCAGAGCCTGAGAAAAGTGGTTTCCCCTTGTATATTACAGCTAGAGTGGATTTAAAGTACAGCAATGATGCTGATAATCTATTTCTGTGCATGATCATTTCACTCAGTAACTTTTATTCATATTTTATAATCTTTAGAACTGAGAATACAGGGGGGACAATTGCAGATCCGTAGCCCCAGAGCTAGAAACCAAATTTGAAGACGCAGGCATCGACATTGCTCATCGCCTTGGCAAAGCGGATGCCACAAAACCTCGCAGTGTAATAATCCAATTTGCCTTCCGAACAGCCAGAGACTTGGTGTGGAAGCAAGCCAAGAGCAATGCTCTGCTCAAGGATAAGAAGCTCCGTCTCGGCGAGGACCTGACAGCGACTGACAAACAAACTCGTGCAAAACTATGGCCTCTCGTGGAAAAGGCCCGCAGCGAAGGCAAGAAAGCATACTTCAGAGGTGCCAGAGCTTACATCGAAGGGAAAGAAATTCACTGCGAAAATTGAAAACTCTTGGATACTCCACATATGCACCTCCGGACAGTAGCCACTACTGTCACTTTATGGACATCTAATCCTAAAAACGGCCAAACTGAAAAGCTCATCCAGTTAGCACGCTAAAAATGGTGACTCGCTTTCTGTTATAAGTAAAATATCGTTACAACTGTTCTTAGAGACAAAAAAGGATGGTTTTGATATGTTTACGTGAAAAGTTACATCTCTGTCGTTTCACTACGGATTTAAAGTTTATTTCAGTTAATGCTAGAGGATTACGAGATTTAGTTAAAAGGAAAGCTTTCTTTCTTTTCTGCAAAGACAGTGACGTAGATTTCATTTTTGTTCAAGAGACTCACTCTTGCATGGATGATAGTTCTTTCTGGAGGAATCAATGGGAAGAGAAGTTGTGGTTAGCACATGGTAGCACTCACTCAGCAGGGGTCGCTATTTTATCACACAAATTTAGAGGTAACATCTGTTTCACAAAAGTAGATATGAATGGACACTGGATAATACTTGTGATTGAAGTAGCAGAACTTCAGGTAATACTATGCAACATCTATGGATACTGCTCCAAAACTATGAAAGGAAATTGAAGACACCATAAGAAGCACACTCAATAATTTCCCTTCAGCAAAACTCATTATTGGTGGCGATTTTAATGAAGTAATGGACAATACTTTGGATAGACTCCCTGCAAAACCTGAATGTAACACAAATAATCTCTTAAAATTTAGCAAAAACTTAGATCTAATAGACACTTGGAGAGCCCAAAATCCACAAAGAAAACAGTTTTCTCGGAGCACCAAAGATTGTTCTCTTCAATCAAGAATTGATTTATGGCTAATAGCAAATGAATTATTACCTTTAGTAGAGGAGGCCGATATATGTCCTGCAGTCCTCACTGACCACAAAGTAATCAGATTGAAAATAAACCTCATTAACAAACAAAAAATCTATAATAGTGGCTACTGGAAATTGAATAATAAACTGCTTCGAAGTGATGATTTAAGAGGAATAATTGGGGAACTCATTAGCGAACAGTGGAAAATAGCACGTAATGCCAATGAATATGGGATACACTGGGAATTACTTAAGTTCAAAATTCAATGTGCCACAGTAGCTTTTGGTAAAAATCAAGCCAAGGAAAAAAAAGCCAAAATCATTAAATTGTTGAATGAAATATCAAATCTAAGTACTAATCCTGAGAACACTGAAAACTATTGTACATTCTCTGACCTACAAAAACAACTGGATCAAATTTATGAAGATAGGGCACATGGGGCTTTTGTGAGGTCAAGAAGACAGTGGATGGAAAATGGAGAAAAGAATAGTAAATATTTTTTCAATCTTGAAAAAACAAGAGGTGAACTTAATGCGATTAGAAAACTCATGGTTAGTGGAAAACCCAATGATGACTTTAAAACAATCTCAATTTTATTACTGACTATTATAGAAAATTGTTTGCCTCTCAAAGTTCTCTTGATAACACAGATGACATTTTTATGATGTTAACAAAAAAGAAAAAGGTTTCAGATGACTTTAATAACTTATGTTCCCAAAAATTACACATAGATGAAATTAAAGAATCAATAAAAAGCCTGAAAAATAATAAATCACCTGGATGTGATGGTCTGACTTGTGAATTTTATAAGGAATTTACAGACCTCATATCTCAGTTTCTGCTTGCAACATATGAAGAAGCTCTTGTAAATTATCAACTACCCCCTTCATTAAAACAGGGCATTATAACATTAATTCCTAAGCCAAGCAAAGACCCCCTGCTTCTTGATAACTGGCGTCCAATAACATTGTTAAACAACAATTACAAAATTCTGGCTATTATTTTGGCAAAAAGGCTAAAGTATGGAATTAATGAGCTCATTGATGAATGCCAGTCAGGTTTTCTGAAGGATCGTCATATTTCGAATAACATCAGACTCGTATTGGATCTGGTAGAATACAAAGACTTGCTTGCTGGCAACCCCTTGATCCTTTTCTTTTTGACAGCATCAGTCATACATTCATCTGGGAAATTCTTTCATTTTTATTCCTTTTTCATTAGGGCTATTAAAACATTATATAAGGGAGGAAACAGCTCAATTAAACTGATCCAGGGAACTACACCGAGATTTGATATGAAGCAAGGTGTTCGTCAAGGTTGCCCCTTAGCACCTTTACTGTTTCTGTTAACAACTCAGATTTTAAGCATGTTAATTAACCAAAGTCAGTTCAGAGGGATAACAATTAATTAGAAAGAAATAAAAGTCTCACAACTGGCTGAAAATGCAAATGAAATTCCCAAGGCCTTAGATACAATAACCAAATTCTCCAGCGTATCAGGACTGAAATTAAATGTTAATAAGTGTGAATTACTGGCCTTAAAGTTATGCAGTCATACCAAAATCTGTGAAATTTCTGTAAAAGACACAATCACCTACCTTGGCCTTAGGATTACAAAGAATCCACAAGAAATTAGTAACCTAAATTTAAATATAATGACTGAGACCATCAAAAAGAAGTTCAACTCATGGCTAACTAGAGATCTCAGTCTCCATGGAAGAGTTTTATTAACTAAAGCAGAGGGCCTTTCTCGTGCCTCGTACATTTTCTCCTCTATAGATGTCCCACACACTTTATGTAGCCCTCTTGATAGATCATTATTTAATTTCATTTGGAAGAACAAGCCTCACAAAATTAAAAAATAAGTTATCAAAAATAAAATAAAGGACAGTGGATTGAATGTACTGGACTTTCCAACATTTAATAAAATAAAGAAAGTAAATTGGATGAAAAGAAACTTAAAAAATTCTCATAGCCAACGGAATATTCTACCCAATTTTTTATTTCAAAAGCTGGGTGGTCTGAACTTTTTGCTGCAGTGTCCTTATGCGATAGGGAAATTACCAATCAAACTAGCCAACTTCCATAAACAGTCACTACTCTTCTGGTCTCTTATCTACAAACACAACTCTCTCCTCAACGTTGCTTCATTTGGAATAACCGAGACATCTGTCACAAAAGAAAAAATTTATTCTTTGAAAACTGGTGCAGGAGTAATATTTTATTGGTTAATCAACTGCTAAATGAACACTCTGACTTTCTACTTAAATATAACATTGAAATTAGCACAAAAGAATATATTATAGTAACAGAAGCTATTCCTAAAGGTATACTCACTCTCCTAAGAAACATAACAATAGAAATATCAGCATTAACATTTGATAACCTTGAAACGGCTTCAATTGATGGAATGAATATAAGTGAAGAATGATTTAATAATAGATTTCTTAAAGATTTATACATCCCAAGAAGTATTCCCATGGCACTGGCTCAATGGGCATCAAAATTTGTCATTGATTGGAACATAGTATGGACCCTCTCTTACAAATATGTATTAAATAACAAAGTCAAAGAAGAATCCATCCATCCATCCATCATCTAAACCGCTTATCCTTCTGGGTCGCGGTGGGGTGCTGGAGCCTATCCCAGCTGTCATTGGGCGGAAGGCAGGAAAAGAAGAATCCTTCATAAATATTACCCCTGCAACATATAGTCTCAAAATACAACTCACAAGTAGAGAATATGTGTAGCTTCTGTGGTGAAAAAAATGAATGTATTGAACACATCTTCTTCAACTGTACTCATTCTAAGGATTTTTGGTATGATGTAGTGAAGGATATTGGACAAAAAATGAACGTAATATTGATAATAGATATATTTGATATTTTATTCTATTATAAAGACTCCAATAAAGACATTTGCTACTTGCTTAATCTGTTCATTCTACTTGGTAAATACTTCATCCATAAAATGAAATTTACAAAGAGAATCCCATCTTACAGTGCATTTAAAAATGACTTTTACAATTATATCTCCTCAATCCAGTATATGTATTGTAAAAGAACAGCTAAGCTAATGAACGTATTGAGAAAATACAACTTTGTTTGAAGACGCAACCTTCATACCTCATGCAAGATGTGATAATCTGCTTTTCAGTTTATATATGTATTCTTTATGTTTTGTGTTTGTATACTGAAACCCTGTATCTGATAATTGCTTATTCCTCTAGCAATAATATATATATATATATATATATATATATATATATATATATATATATATATATATATATATATATATATATATACATGGAGTCCGAGGAGACCCACAATAGTCTGCGGCTCAGTATTTTCTTCGCTATTACTTAGTGCGCTTCAGTAGGTGGCGGTATGTTCTTTGCATGTGCCCCGCCGATACGTCGAAAGAAGAAGAAGAGGACAAGGTTCCGCCAGTTCCGCCAGCTCCGCCATGTTTTGAGTGGAGTGTAGTTGCAGGATTAACTCTGATACATCGTTTTACAAAACAAGCTGTGTCAAGTGAGATTTTATTTGTGGCACAGTTTTCATTGTCAAGATGTTTAACAGAATGACAAGCCTGTGGATGGGCGATGTAAGTACCGGATTGTTTTCTTGCTCAGCTAACAGTAACAGCTGTGTCGTGAACTTGGCTAAGGGTTTGCAACATGTGTTAGCTAGCTAGCCAAGTGAGACCAGCAGCAGCAAGCAAGCCACTACATTTCTTAAGGATTTCTTTTCAGAACTGCAACAGAAGAATAAAACATGACATTTTTCTAGCTGTAGTTTTTGTGGTTGGATTGTTTCTACTAAGAATGTGCAGCTTGCTGGGTAACATTAGCTGTCGACGGTGGTGATTGGCTTTCTTTGTTGGTTTATGTATCCAGCTGACAAATTAATTCTCCATTATTTTATGTGTACGCCAACACCATAAGGTGATCATGCTGAAAGCATTACATTTAAACGTACTATCATATACTTTTCTAATTAATGCTACTATTTGAAACATATTATTTTCGTGCCGTTAAGGCCATAAGGCAGCAGCCGACCCGCGCCCTGTCGCTCGCTCACACATATAGCTGTCCGTTACGGTCCTTAGAAAGCAAACAAGGACAAGGAACGAATAAAAAATGTATATATTAATGTGAAAGACGTGCAATATGCGTGTTTAATGTGTTTCTGTTGTAAGTCATTTTGATTTAAACTTGATGTCAGTAGCTAGTTCCTTGGAAGGGGTGTTTTGATGACGTCAGATCAACCCAGCTCGTTCAAGTCAGCTGACCTACCCAGTAATAAGTAGGGCTCATGCTGCCTTCAAGGCCTCCCCAGAAATTCCTACTTATGACTTAGGAGGTCGTAAGTACGACTTGATTTGTGTTCAATTGATTTTGGTTGGAAATAAGTGAAAATTATGTTTTTGGTTTATTTTTATTTTTCTGTTATTAAAGAGAATATGTGTACACATAATATTTCTGTTTTCGTGTGTGGATGGTTTCAGTCTGCAGTGTATGGTTGATGAATACCTGAAACATGGCAAGTTTATCAGCAGCTATCATTGTTTTTTGTTGATGCCCCAACTCGTAAACTTGGGGCTCCTCGAAAAATCCGAGTCTCCCAGTAGTAAATACGACGTTGTGATGCCGTTCATGTGCATCGATATCGTAAATACGATATTTCCGACACAAAAGTCCTCCGGCTACCTTGTAACATCCGTAACACTTGGAGTGCAGGCATACATTAAAACTTACAAAATAAGCTCTGACGAGTTTAAAGCGATCAGAAAGGGTTCTCGAAAACATGCCTACATTAACCAAATTGGGGAAATCGGTTTGACGCTAGACAATAAAATTGTGTTTTCATTATTTAATAAGGAGGGGCTTTAGCAACGGAAACTACTCTTTCAGATGAGCTAACGCTGGAGCTTGTCAGAGCACTGCTAGATGCTGAGGAGCTTGTTGGTTCTGAGGAGAACTTGTCTTTCATATATACTTTTAGAAAACTTCACACAATGTTTTAATAACAAATGTGGGCACTGTACAGTTCTGTTTAATTCTATTGATTTATCAAGCTACCTGCCACAGCAGGGGTTCTGTCCCTTATTGATGTCTGGCAGCAGGAAGTGGCCACTCCAATCCGGAAGTGGTGTTGTTTTGCTTGTGCCATTTAGCGAATGACAACTGCAGAGACACCAGCAGCACCGTCCTTGTTCCATCCACCTTAGTATCAGAATCAGAATCAAGCTTTATTGGCCAGGTATGCTTACACATACACATACATTCCTAAACCCACACTTCAACGAAGGTTAGCCAAGAGTTAGCTTAAAATAGACTGACCTTTGTCTCACGAACATAAACAGTCATCCAAGTACAGTAACAGACTTATGTCTGAACCGCCACAGCTAGGGGACACAGCTTACTTGTTGAGCTATCATTATAGAACAGTCTCTTCAGGAGAATCAGACAATACAGTAATCATTAATAATAAGGATTAGAGATCTGAGCACTCTGAAGTCAAATATTAGACTGTGAGAGCAATCCCATTGCCCCATCACTGGGCAATAATTATAATTACACAAGACAAAAGCGTCTGACATCTGGACTGCAAAAACAAAGAGCTTCAGTCTTTCAGGCTTAAAGGCTGAACTCATTAAACAGCTTGTTTATGATGATTCACACTGTTTTTCGTGTACAGCGTATTGTGTTGCTTATGTGTAATAGGCTAAAGAAGCTGTCACTGTAGCTATGGCAAGTCTAATTGATCCACCTCTCCAGGAATGGCAGGAAACTTGTAATCTTTCTAGACAAGCTTTAACAGCTGACCTGCTTCTTTGGTGAAGATAGCTCCACCTCTTGACTTGGACAGAGTTTTCCCTAAACTTACTTTACATTTTGCCTCAAATTTCATTTTTTTACCCTTATGCTCCCATTTTACCACAGTAGTGCACGAATTGTCATTGGATCTTCTGCCTTGCTGACTACTTTTTTCTGGGCAGCATTCAGCAACCCTTCTGATATGTGCAGCCCTACATTGACGTCCTTTTCACATACTGGTAGACTTTGGGACACCTCAGCTTGTGCATGTGAATTGTACAGAAATTTTGAAAAATCAGTGGAATTCCCCTTTAAGCATCTCTGCCTTCCACCGTGCCTGATTCTCAACACGTCCCATCCTCTATTTTCTGTTCATAAGCTTTGGGAGATGAATTTCGTGAAGGATAGTACTTTACGTGCTATCATTTAGGCTGTGTTGAATTTAATTTTAAGATCTTTGAATTCTTTCTCGGCCGTTTTCACGAGACACTGCGCAGGGGCATCAAATCACGCGAGCTTGCAGGTGTTTTTTTGACAGGTGCATGTGTCCATGTAATGCTAAAGAATATCAGTTACGTTTTATACATAAAAAGCAATAAATGCATAACAATAGTAAGAAATAGTTACCCATAAAAAATAATAATTCAAAGTTGCTACCTGTCGCCACTGGCGAGTTAATTAATTTAATTACTCGCAAATTAATAATTTTGGTCGCAATTGCGACCATTTAGTTGCAATCTGGAGCCCTGCTTTAGGTTGACTGTCTCTTCATTATAAACATAAGATTTGTGTGATCTGATACGGATTTTTATGTGGCTTAATATTGTACGATGCACTAATAATGAGGTAGAAAAATATGCCAGTAGCTGACGAGGCAGTTAGCTAACTGAGGTAAACTGTCAGCAAGTTATCAAAGTTAAATCTGCCAGTAACTGAGGGAAATAACTGTAAGCTGTACATGGACTTTAAGTGACTTAAATCTTTAGACCTACTTAAAGGAACAGGCATTTAGGCCACACAGCAGCTAGGAAAAGTGTGTGGATCAGGCCATAAATAAGGCTAATTTTACATCCCTCTGGAGTTGGTTAGGATACACCCCCATTTCATTGGATTCAATATGATGCTTCACAAGCCTGAAAACATGCAATAAAACAATCTCTTTAAGCTCTCGCATTGTATTTGCAACATGTAAACAAAAAAAAGAACCCTTCAGCATAACAATTCCATAATGCAGCACAAGGGGATACCTGAAGCCCTCTTTGCATAAAGTCTTTGTTTGTGCATTACATAGGTATTGTACCGTCCACTCTGTAGGTGATGGTAGCATACCTTGTGTGGCTGTGATCTGCATTTTAAACCAGAAGAAGAACATGTTTATCCAGCTTCTGATTTGAGGGATAGTGTGGCTGTATGTACTGAAGGTGATTTGTCTACTGTAAATATGTCCATTCTTGACATTTCTTTGTCTACCATCATACTACTTTATTTTCATAAAGAAATAGAAGTGTTAGCTGATGCGCACTGAATATTTCTGTTATTCAAATGCAATAAAACACAATAATGGTGTATATTGTAGTATACTTTGTTGATTTCATTTGCTGCAGTAATAGTATAATTTTATAAAGGTATTAAAAAGGTCTTAAGTCATTAAATTTGTACTTAAAAATGTGTAGATAACTTGATTTAAACACATAAAAATAAACAGCTTATGGCTTTCAGTGACATTTAATAGTCAGTGATGTTTGTAAGAAAAATGGAGCTCAAAAACTTGAAATTCAAAAATTATGCAAATAGGTTTACACATATATAATATAAAACAAATATGTTGTATGCGTCACTGACAATTATAAAAGGGCACACATTGGGACGGAGCTTGCCTTTTCAGTATATGGGTACAAGTGACTAGATGCAGGATCAAAACTGTGAAGCCTACACCAGCAAATACCTAGACCTGTAAATATAACACCATTAAAAATATTACAGTAAATATCCAATAATGCGGTGAAAATTCACTACCTTGTACAAGGCAACAACAGTCAGGGCATATGAACGTTAGTGTACTTATTTCATATTGTTCTTTAACCAAAAATGTATTTCATGTGATAACAAACAGTAGTTGGACGTGTTGAATGTATATGATGTGTGCTGCATATGGAAATCAGTGGAAGGAGACCATTTAGCCTAGGCGGAATGGTGGAAGTTGCAAGCTGCCGCTGTCCTTACCTTTAACGAGCGAAAACAGAAATGAAAAAGATTAGGAATCGTGTAACTTATTTATTAAATGTAAAACAGTACATTATGATTTTACAAGTAATTACACATTTCATGTGGGACATGATGGCAGATTATAGAAGTGTGTTTGTGTGTGTGTCGTCATGGTTGGTGAGTTCTGGCAGTGCTGATGCCTGCGCTGCTGCTGCTTTGATTTTCCCAGACACAGGAGACACTAAAGACATGATCTCCTCTGTCTCCTCTTATTACCTTCCTGTGTTATTGTTGATGAAAACTCGTTAGATACAATATTACAGTGATGGTGGAGAATAATGAGGAGACAGAGCTGAACGTGTGTCTTGAGGAAGAGTAACGTTAGTGTGGTCGGCTAAAACGTTCGGGAAATGAAACTGGTGAGTGGTGACACTGATAAACAGCACAAAGCGCTGACACAATATTCTTAACTTTCAGTTTATCATGCTTTAGTTTTCTTTGACCTTTTTTACATCAGTAACGGTAGCTAACAATAGCTGTCTGGCTAACTAACTTGATTACGTGTTTACGTTTCAGCTGTGTGCGTTTGGTCGGTTGCTAGGTAACAGAAATGACAGTTGGTGGTTGATTTCAGTCGAGTAAGTTAAGATTTCCTAACTTGAGAATAGAAAAGATGCTATAAGATTCTTAAGATAAGATTTGCTTCTGTAATACAATTTTGTGAAAAATCTTATCTTGACCTGTCAGATCTTAAGGTACTGCAAAAAGATAGGAAGTTTCTGTAATACGGCCCCAGATTCCTAGAACACAAATCTTATACCTTAATCTTTTATGGCTAAATGGATAAGGCCTGAGAACAAGACCCTCGGCCTCAGAGAACCCCAAAATATCTTGCTCCTGTTCTAAGGCTTTTGTTGGGGAGATGATAGGCCTTGGCTCCTTTTCAGATTTTTATTTTTTAGAGACTAAATGTCTGGGACATTGGTACTTGACCTTTTCCTGGGCTTCAGTACTTCCGTTGCAATTTATCAACCATGGTGATTCAGTCAGTCAGGGTTTTATTATATTATATATTCTTAAGTGTGTGTTTTAGTTCTCTGACCCTTGGCCTTTGCTTCAGAACCATGTTCCAGATTTCATTCTTTTGAGGCAAAATGGCAGGGTATTTAGTACAATATCCTGGGCCTGGGCCTCAGACCTCCCAACCAAATTTATTTGTTTTGTGTTGGGGCAATGACAATGTGCAGCTCACATAATCTTTCAGCTTGGCTCACGAACAGTTGAGATGTGGCACAGGACTGTGCAAAATCCTTAAAGTAGAGGTGAGCAATATGGCAGAAATGAAGCCTGACCCTCATATGATCAGAGGTGGAATAAAAAAACTACTATTTGTTTGTGCTAGCATTGTTTTAGAGAAATTAAACACTACAATTTATTGCCCCTCATCAACATCTAAATTGCACAAAGATGGTTTTTGTTTGCACACTTATGTCTGCACGTTCGCGCGTTGTACTTTTTGTTCCTTGTTGCACCTTGTTCCTGGAGGAACGTTATTTCACTCCACTGTGTACTTGTACATAGATGGAATGACAATAAAAGCCTCTTGACTTGACTTGGTCCTATTTGTTTGTGCAGGTTTTGTGCTGTTACAAGAAACGTTTGTGCCAATTTAATTCTCCATTCATAAAGCCGTAATATTTTGATGAGTGACGTAATTCAGCCACTATTTTTTTTTTGTTTTTTTTTCCCCTTTTCTTTTCTCTTTCTCCAATCCTTTAGGAAACAGGACAGGTGGAATGAAAAAGAATATCCATGAAAAGTCCAAAGCTGTTTTAGGATAAAACCTACATGGGTCACTGTTAAATTGTTTTGTGTTCTTGGTGGTTCGATAAATTCTTCTTTGATATTTGGTGAGCATTTTATCAAGTCACAAAATAACTTTAGCACACATGATCCATCAAATATTAACATTGTTTGTCACAGTAACCCTGCTGTTTGAATTTTAATTTTGAAAATGTGTTTTTAAATGGCTTTGTAACTATATTTTTTAAATCCTCACTTTTAGTTAGCTTAACTTCTACTGAAGGTAATTATGAACCTGAACAAGTAAAGATTCAAAAGCCAGATAACTTGTAATCACTGATACCGGCTGCTCAGAAGGGGAAAAAAACACCTTCACCCAGACGATCGTTCTTCAGAGAACCCTCTGTTGTTTTTTTGTTGTTATTTATTTATTTATTTATTTATTTATGAAACCAAATGTGTTTTTTATGGCATCATGCAAGGAACTCTTTTTGGCACTTTATTTGGCTATATGTTTCACAGACCCTGGCCTTTTTTTTTCAGATATTTGACAGTTTTGACAGTTTTCATGCTGAAAATGGATGAATGTTTGTTCCTATCACAAGATTTTAATCATTGTCTGTTCACTTTCCTTAAAATGTAACAAAGTTGTGACACCAATATGATCTTCTCTGTAGTGAATGCACTGAGTTAAGAAAGGACTTTGATCAGAACAGTTGGCTGTGGAATTGAGTGTAGTAGATTCCAGTTCATTGTAATACCTGACTTGGGTGGATCTAAGCGTGTGAGGTTTTGTAAAAGTAATTAATCTCTGTGAATTCATCTGTGGTTTACTCTTAAGAATGTTGTCTGGATTCATATGTAATAAGCTGTCTTGTGTCTTACAGTTAGACCCATACATGGATGAAAACTTCATCAAGCAAGCTTTCAGCACTATGGGGGAGACAGCCTATGGTGTTAAAATTATCACACATCGAGTCACCGGGTAAGACTGTCTGACTTCTGACTAGATGTTTTGTTTTTTTTTCTCTTAATGTCCACATTTTGCATGTGTCAAATGCTAAAAGATATTTTCTGTGTCAGCCTATTTCTGTAAAGTTTTCTTACATTAATTTTTGAACGCAATTTCATTGTGGTGTTTAATCATTCTTCCAGAGGCTCTGCTGGATATTGCTTTGTGGAATTGGCAGATGAAGCCAGTGTTGATCGATGTGTTCAGAGGCTCAATGGGAAGCTGGTCCCAGGATCAAATCCTGTGAGTGACCAAATTTGTACTTATTTTATAGTTTTGATTTATAGTGTAATATTTTTTTATAGCCTATAATCTATAGAAGAACAATTCTGAAAGTTTAAACAGCATGGCCCCCACCTTATATTTAAGCAAAGAATTAAATAGCTATTCCATGTACAACTAGTGGTGAGCAAGTTACAGTGTTTAATTTCTTACCAAATAAAGGTGGTTGAGGCTGTTTTATAAATGACTTTGTTTGAAACTGGTGAATAAACTCTGTTAGGAACTAGCTGACGAATGGGAAAAAGCCAGTACAGAATGCTGGAGGTATGTGATCATATAAATGTATTTTTTACTCTAAAGATTATTTTTCAGAGAAATTTCTTTGCTACAGGAAATGTTTAATTCCTGCTGATTAAAGGTTGTATATTTATTATTATTTATTTGTCTATTTCTAGCCCAGGAAGTTCAAGCTGAATTATGCAACATATGGGAAAAGGCCTGAACCTGGGTGAGTTAACATTTTAGGCCTGTATGGTTCCTTGCATGGTATTTTTTCATGTGTACTGATTCCAGTTACAGTACACTCTTCAAGACCCTTTTGAGTGCTTGAGGTAATGACTGAGCTGTCAGTGTTAATTTGATAAATCTATTGTTTCTGTTCCATTTAAACAAACCTACCTAGCAAAATGGTGAAGCATATTATGCTGTTTTTTTCTTTGTTGTATTACCGTTAAACAAACCTACTGTAAATTAATAAAATGGTGAAACATATTATGCTGTTTTTTTTCTTTGTTATTCCTCAGACCTGAATTTTCTGTTTTTGTTGGAGACCTCACACCAGAAGTGGACGATTATCAGCTTCATCAGTTCTTTGTGAAAAAATACCCTTCTTGCAAAGGAGCCAAAGTTGTCACTGATCCCTATGGAAATTCAAGGTATGAAAACGAATTCTGCCATCTTTGTTGCTTTCACTGTCACTTTCAATGACTGATATGAAGATAAGATTATTGCCCGATTATAGATGTCCTTTATTATTGATGAGTTGTATGATACATTCAATTTAATCCATTTATCTGCCAGTTATTTTGCTTCATTTTTTTAACCTGCTGTTCCAAAAAGGGGACACACTATACATTGATGTGATTTGCCTTTGTTACAAATCCTCTAAAACTATTGTTTTCCCCACATAGGGTAAGCAAGAGCAACTCACAAATGAAGTGATGCTACTTCATGTTAAAAGTAAAATAAAAGTTTAAGTTCTACCATCAATTTAAGCTTTTTTCCTTTTTTAAACTTTGTGAATCTTGCATTATATAAGCTTATTTCAATGTTGAAACTAAAAGGGAAAATGCCAACAATTTAGTTTTGTACTAATTAAATAGGGGCTATGGCTTTGTGAAGTTCAGTGATGAAAGCGAGCAGAAGAAAGCCCTTGAGGAGTTTCAGAATGCTACTGGCCTGGGAGGCAAGCCCATCAGAATAAGCATTGCAGTCAACAAAAGGTAAAATTGTCCTAAAAATCTTAATCTTACAGGGAGTGGACAAAATAACCAAAGTATTTAATGTGCTAACATAAAATGTCGAATAAGGAGTTAAATAAAAGCAAAGCTGCACTTTACCTGTAGAACAGGTTCAGTCTCGTTGAATAGTGTTACAAGCCCTGTATTATGTATAGTGGGATATTGAGGCATTTTTCAGAGTCCTGTTCTTTTAGGCTACATAAGATTATGCAACCAAGGATTGTGGATACAATGTTAATTAAATGGTGTAACATGAATTAAAAATCTTTTAAACCTCTGCTAACTGTTGGGTTTTGTGCCAGATAGGAGGCTTGAGGGACGGTGCTGTCCCCTTCAGAGGCAGTATACTTTAGCCCTAGTCGGATCACCATGCAGCATTAGATGATGAGGGAGACTTGTTTTTGTGAGGTCTTTTAGGCTACGTTTACATAACAGGTAAAAGTGGCCCAAATCCGATCTTTTTCTTTATATGTGACACAGATGTTATTTGTGTGGCAGTGTGAACAGCAAAAAACGCATTGAATCTGACATTTTCAATTCCGAATTGAGAAGCTTTCATATGTGGTACTGAAATCTGATACGTATGCGATCTGCTGCAATGCGACTCAGTCTGAACAGCCAGATCGGAAATCATGCGACTTTTATGTCAAAACAACTCGACATTCGTCATAATTTCACGCTGCTGAGACTTAGTCTGATGTTTCTGTACCGAAAATTAGAAGAGACTCATCAAACTGCTCCGTGTTCGAAGAGGTTTCGAACGGAAAGGAGACCGAGGCAGCGTCAGAGAACAATTTAAAGAATCCGAGGACACAAACCAAAGAAGTGGCTGTGACCGAATAACGTGCCCTGCGGGAGCGACTGCGTTCGCTGGCCGTCGTGACTGTTTTCCTTTGGATGAGCCGCTACGTGAAACACTGTTCTTTTGCACATGCGGGTCAGTTTAGGAGCGTGATCTGTTCAGACTGATGTCGCATACAGGTCACATTTAAAAGATAATGTGAACAGCCAAACAGAAAAATCGGATTTGGTAAGAAAATAAGATTTGGGCCACTTTTACCTCCTGTGTAAATGTAGCCTTAGAAAACCTCAGTGATGTCTCAGAGAATGATGGCACACATGCAAGTGCATTAATATTAATGTTCTCACATAAATATTAATGTACTTAATATGGCATTGTGATGTTGATTGTTGTTTGCATTCAGAGTAGTTTGCAGATCCTTTCATACTTTTGCAATATTTAAGTATATAACAGAAAAATACTATTCATTAAGGTATGGCAAAAATGCATATAAAATACAGCCCCACATAATTTGTAGCTAATTCTGTTATGACCAAATGTGCAGACTTTTGTTGTAATTGTGATTTGGTTATTGTGGTTCATTTTGTTCACCCCTGGTAGCTGATCCAAGTTTAAATTGTGTGTACACTAATTAGGTGGACCATTCCTTAACAGTGTCTTTGTTTATTTTACAGCAACAAATCAAACAACTACCATAATCAGAATCACAGTTATAACAGCAATTACCAGCAGCAGTACTATCAACAGCCATACAGTAATTACTATCAGCACTGGGGCTATGATCAGTACAACAGTTACAATTATGGATATAATCCTTATGCCACTCCTCCTCCGGTTCCTCATGGGATGATGGGACCCCCTCCACCGATGGGAATGCCTCCGATGCCCCCTGACATGCACGCAACCACAGAGGTAAGGAGGCATTGTTGCGAGGTCAAAAGTATGTGGATATTTCTTCTAGTACATGTTATGTTATGCACTTCTTAACATTGTTAAGAGGTGCATAAAATAAAGCATACAGCCCTCCAGTTTCCATAGACAAACACTAGCAGTACTGGTCATGCTGAAGAGCTCTGCTCAAAGTAGATGTCACTATTTTAGCACATTCACTGTAATTTAAAAAAATATGTCATTTTAGCTTTGTGATTTCAGGAGACTACCCCTTGTTGGGACGAGGCTGGGCAGTCAGGCCCCTTATCTCACTCATCTATGCTGATGCAAATCTTTTTCAGAGATGTTCATGAAGAACTTTACATTTCATTAAGAATTGAAGTCTCTGCTGAGTCAGCTTTGTCATAGTAGGTCATTGTATATGGTATAGGGAATGTGCTTAATACTGCTGGGAATTCTTAGTGGAGCATGAAGCTCAAAACAAACAACCCTTTAAAAATTCAGATTCCAATCAGCATTGAAACTGTCATGAAGTCTTTTCAAAAAACTACTTTGGTAACATGAGTCATTTTGAACTTTAATAGGAACTCTGGAAGACATGGCATTTGCATTGACTTCCAGCTTTTGTTCTTGACATGTTTTCCCTCTCTTTTGTGAATTTAAAGTTGTTTAATTTTTTTTTATAATCCTATGCTTAGATTATGTCATTACAGCAATCTTCTGATGCCACTGAAGAGGTTGAAGAAGACAATGAAGGTAATGCTTCTAGCATTTCTTTAGTTTTGTTGTGCTTAAAGGGTCACATTGGCCAAAAAACACAATTTTGTAAGATTTGGTCTGACTCTAAATATAAAAGTACAGTGGCAGTGTGGTCAGAAATTGGCCAATGATAAATGGGCTAAAGAGTGGTGGAGTGCGTGACAACTGAGGAGTATATAACATGCTTAACTCTGGTTATGTGAGTAGTGGATGGTTTTCTGCTTTGCCAGCTGCAAAGCAAGAAATTATGCCAAACAATCACCTTGTGACACTAGTTTGACATAGTCGAGATAATATATATATGCTCAAGTCACACAGCAGTCTTACTCTTCTCGCAAACTCGAAGTAACCCAGGATGCATCTCAATCTGCAGGCCGTACCCAGGGACAGAACTGCCTGTACTAGGTTGGTTTACGTGGACACCTTTCAGGGAAGCCCAGGAAGCTGCTGTGTTGGCATGTCCGTGCCAGCCATTGCATGCAGGGAACAACCAGCACTCTCATATGCCAGCTTGATCATGTCCATTAGCCAGTGGGAGAGCTGCTGCTTAAGAGAGTGGCAAACCCCATCTTGACTCAGAGAAGCATAGAAACAACTGATCCGATGTACGAAGCCCAGCTGTAGCAGTGACATAGGTCCTCAGAACTCGAACTGGGATCAGGCTGGTTTGTGTAAACTACTAGGCTGATGGACTTATCAATGAACCCAGGGTTGAGAACTTTGGATAAGAAGGCTGGGTTAGGTCTCAGCAGAGCATATGCACCATCAGGCTGATATGGCTGTTGTGGAGCTACTACAAGAATGCAATGTCTCTCCCTTTCAGCACTGTTGGACAGAGTGCAAATGAAGGGAAGTTGAGGGAAGGCATACAGCAGTTCCCTCTACCTCTTTTGCGCCAGAGCATCATGACCCAATGGTCCATTTTGGGCTTAGTCTGAAAACCACAGATGGCAGTGGATTGTGTCTGATGAGTCATGCATGTCTGAACTGCTGCCACATGAACGAGACCACAGGGGCAGTAGTGCGCTGGAGGTTGGGGAATGAGCCTTATAACAGGAAGGTCGCCGGTTCGATCCCCTGAGCTGACAGTGCATGACAGTACGCCCTTGAGCAAGGTACCTAACCCCCAACTACTCCCCGGGAGCCGTGGAAATGGCTGCCCATCACTCCCGGCAAGTGTGCTCACTGACCCCTAATGTGTGTGCATGTACTAGTGGGTATGTGGCTGAAATGAAATTTCCCCGTTGTGGGGCTAATAAGGGTAACCTAACTCTGGATGGAGGCTCCAGTGGCTGGGGATCAAAGTGTTGCGTGAAAGGACATCTGTCATCTCGTTGGTTGCACCCACGTGAGCGACTCTCAAGGAGAGAACCCTTAGTTGAGCCTTGTCCGCAGGTGCCATGCAAGATTCAGCAAGTAGCTTGAGAATAAGTAAGCCCCACAGACGCAGAAGTGTCAGACACGGCGTGGTAGTTCCACTTGGTAGTTCAGCGACCAAAACCTGCTGTAGATTTCAGCGCCTAGTCGAACTGGGATGGGGCCAGAGCATATTACAGCATCGGACATTGTCTGGGCTAATTTACACACCTCTTTAATGTTATCTTTAGTTATTTCTGACTGCCGCAGACGAACGTCATTAGTACCTACATGAATGACTATCCTTGAATATCTATGGCTTGCTAGCAGCTTCAGGTTCCCTCTAATGTCTGGCGCCCTGGCTCCCGGTATACAGTTAACTGCTACTGGCGCCCCTAATGGAGAAGCTATTGTCACGTGCCATAAAATAGAATCACCTGTAACCATAGCTCTTTCATCAGGCATCTCAGAGGGTGTCTCACTGAGTGGGGCAAACCTGTTCGAAAGCGTAAATGGGAGATGAGTGGTGCTTGCGTGGGGTAGCTTTAGCTTTGCGGCTATGCTGCCGAGACGCCACCCAGTCGCCCCGCTGTGAAGGCTCTGCTGCCGGAGTCGAAGGCTTGCTAGCTCTCCCTGAGGCACCCGGAGCTTCTAACAGCGAGTCTGAGCCCTGCTGAGTAGCCCTGCTCTTTTCTAACCTCTGGATGCACACCTCTGACAGTATAATCTTCTCCGTCAAACACAAAACTAACTTAGACTTCTCACAAACAAAGCTAGTAACACTGCGGTCACTAGTGACATAGAGAGAAGCATAACTAAACATGCTGCACTCAGAGCAAAGCAACAGCTCGCGGTTTGCCATACTGATACTCACGTTGTTTCGTTGGCTGAATTGAGTCCTTTCCAAGGGGACTCACGAATCAAATGATAGAAAAAGTGACTTTCAAAGGTCGGTGGTTGTGATTAATTGCGAGTAATATGCAAAAGAGAATTAAAAATGTAAAAGCTGCAAAAGACTAGCAAAATAGAGCGGAGAAAACCTAATCAATGTTCCTCTTGAATCTTGCTCTTTGATGTTTCATTGACCAGCAGTCTGTGCATCAATCTTCAGTGTTAAAGGTTGGTGAACTAGCAGTTATACGTTAACTCCAGCGTTTAAGACCATTTATTGTGAAAACTGTGTTAGAACGGTATGTTAGAATGATCAGCAGAGCTTTATATTACAGAGGATTATTTTTACCTACAAATCTAATTCTGCTGTGGAACCGCAACAGGGCAGTGAAAGAGCTGCGTGTTGCCGACCCCTGCCTTAGCTAAAGTGGAAAAAACATTTTCATAATAGACTTTTACTAACAGTACTGCGCAGAGCCGTGGTCACAGATGAGAATTTTGAGGCTAAAGTGTTGCTGAGGTTTAATAAAGAACTGAATGTCATGTCTGTACATATCTTGTTTCTTTCTGTTTCTTTCTGGCACTTGATTAAATGCAGTGTCTTGTGACATGTGGAGAGAAAAGTAGCTAAAAAGTAGTGCACTACTTTTTAAAAAGTAGCCACTAATTTTTCTGGAAAAGTAGCTAAATTGTAGCTAGCTACAAATTTTGGGAAAGTAGCTACAAAGTAGCTAGCTACTAAATTTTTCAGTAGCTATCCCAACCCTGCTTAACTGACACTTATCTTTCTCTTCCTCTAGATCTAAACCCGCAGGTTGATGTGGAAGCACTGAATAAGCAGTACATGGAGCGTAGTGAGGAGCTCTACGATTCACTCATGAATTGCCACTGGCAGCCCTTGGATAGTGTCACATCTGAAATCTTCTCAGAAAACTCTTCTTGATTGCCTGCAATAATCCTGGACCTTCTTGAAATGAAAATGCCTTTTTATGTAGTTCTTAAACTTTTGAGAAAATATCCGCTGCTGATCTGTTTTGTGTGGGACTTGTCAAGTGTTTCTCCTTCTACTTTGTCTCTTGCATTCTTTAACCATTAAATAAAGGTTTTTCTTTTTACTTTAAACAGCTTGTCTTTTAGAGAGTTCAGATTTAAAGCTGAGAGTGACTGCAACTCTTACCTTTAAAAGGATATTACATTTTATTATTACTAATTTAGTTTTTTTTTTGGTAAGCATCTTATACATTATAACTGAGTAAAGTTGATGTACACACACTTCTTGTTCAGCAGATGTTTTGGCTTGGACGTGGTGGTTTTATAATCCCTGCAAAAGGACTGGGGGCAATTAAATTGTTTGCTAAATTGTTTGCCATTTTCAAGTGATTTATTTGCCGCTTGTACAGAAATAACAATGCCCAGCTGTTGATGAACATGAATGTTTTAACATGCTGTTGTTTGGGGCTTGAATGTGCTGTGTGTTCATTGGTTAATGAAAGAACTGACATCAAATCAGCCTGTATAAGTTACAGTAGTAATGTATTTTCTTCATTTATTGGCTCCAGGAAAATTACTGTGCATGTTTAAAGTGAACGGCACAGAATGTTCTCCAACATTTTATCAGATAACTCTATCTGAAATGAATATTCCCTGCAAACATTGTGATTATTGCTTTCACACCATGAGGTCAAAGCTCAGGAATGTTGGAAACTCAAAACATATTTTTTCTGTTCTGCCCAGCTTCAAATTAATTTGAATAAACATATGAATTAAAAGTCTCTTTCTTTTTGGTTGTTTTTATATGTATACTAAATAAAAGAGTGTGTTAAGTGAACTTCACAGATGGTAGGATGTTCTGCCAGAGCACTAATGGTTGTATTATATGTTGTTTGGAGGGGGGGTCATGATCCCATTTTAGGAGAACAGCTCGACTGTCGCATACAATCTCACATTAAAGAACACAATGACATGCCATTAGGTTTTTAACACTGTTGTTTTTAATGTTTCCCTTTGAAAGCATAGCTGAGCTCAACACAAATCATCTAAACGCTGTGGTGCATTTTAAGTGCTTCCAATAATGCAGTACAGTGTTCCAAACAGCTTTCTAATTACAAATGTATTTAGAAACAGTATGGTTCTTTTAGCAATCATTGTTTGACAACCACACTTTTCAAATTAGTCCCTGGATTTTGATCCTAACTTTTCAAAATTGGACTTGAGATACTCTGTGCCTCTGTAGGCAAATAATCATCAAAAAATGACTTCTAATCAACCTGGCATTATGGAATTATGGAATTGACATTATGAAACACTTGTAAATATTGAAATTCTGATGAGGTGTGCCAATATAGACCAGATTGACCAAAAGGGGGTGCTTTTGCACTCAAAAACACTTACAATCTTTAAAATCCTTTTACAATCATATGTAGTCTACAGATAAATAATCAGCACATTGTGATTCCATTTTCTGTCATGAATAACTTTGCAACTACTTTTGTTAGAAACTGGACACTTTGTTCGGTGTTTTGACTTTTTCATTCAAAAGCTACTTTGTTCTGCCAATCTGAATAAAAATTAGGCCAATCTGATTGAAACTCAAAAAACATCTTTGTTGAATGCCACTGATCAATAATAACCACATATGGCGACCTTTAAACAAATTATAAATAATATAAAATATTATCAAAAAAAAATTTTTGATATTGTACACATTAAGTCACCAAAGAAAAAGCTTTAGTGTTCATTCTCATGAAAATGTTATTTATGGTCTGTTAGATTGCATATAAAAAGAAGATCAAAAGAGGACACTGGACGTAGGCCTCATAGCTTCCATTCCACATTTTACTTTTTACAGCCTTAATGGCTTGGTAGCTGATCCTTCCCTGGGCTTCAGACCTGCATTCACAATTTATTTTCAACCATCTCAACAGGTTGGGATTTTGGTTCATAGAACCAGTGACTCCAAGCTCCCATTCCAATATTATAGTCACTATTGTTAAGGGTTGGGTATTGTATAGTGGGCCCATGACCCTTGGTTCAATATTTTTTAAGCCTAAAACTCTGGGTCATGGTTACGAGGTCTCGGCTCAGAGATTTCATTGCAATTTCTTTTCATCCTTGGCCACAGTTCAGAAGTGCAGTTATAAGACGCTGGGCTTTGTCCTCCAAATTATCATTCAAATATTATAGCTCCTATTCTAAGAGGTTGGGTTTAGGCCTTATCGAAGGGACTTTGTGTTGATGATATGATGCTGGGACTTGGCCTCAGAGATCATATTAGAAATTTTATGCTTTAGAGTCTAAATGACTGGCTCATGCTACTGAAATTTTGCCTGGGTGTTAGTTATTTCCTGTCAACATTATAGTCCCTGTCTTAAGGTTTGGTTTATTGATAGTGAGCTACAAACCAGAGCCTCAGAACAAAAATCCCAGACTATAATCTTTCTTAGCTAAACAAAAGAAGCTTGAGAGCAAAACCCTGGGCCTGGGCTTCAGATAATCAAACAATTTTTTTTAGTAATATTATAACCATCTGAACAGGTTGGGATTTTGGTTCAAAGACCCAGCAACTCCAAGCCCCAATTCCAGTATTATAGTCACAATTGGTAATCGTTAGGCACTATATAGTTTTTTTCAAAGCTCAGATTAAATTTTTTTGAACTAAAAGTCTGGTTCATGGTTACTAGGTCTTGTCTTCGCAATATTGATTCCTTATTCTATTGTAATGAGATCGAGGCCTTTGGGCCTATGTTTAAGGGATCTTATCCAATCTTTCTTTTTCAAAATGAAATGAATTGAAGGCGTAAGATAGGACATGAGCTCTTAAACACAGGCCCAGAGGCCTCTATCCTATTACAATAGAAAATGGACCTAATATTGTTAAGACATCTCGTAAACATGACCCTGACGTTTAGACTTAAAAAAAACATTAAATCTGAGCTTTGAGTCAAAGGTCATGGGCAACCTAAATAATAACCAACGCTTGACGATAGTGACTATAATATCAGTATGGGAGCTTGAAGTCGTTGGGTCTTTATACCAAAATCCCAACCTGTTCAGATGCTTGAAAAGAAATTGTCAAAACAGCTCTGAAACCTAGGGAAGGATCTACTGCCAAAAACCAAGCCATTGAAACTGTAGAGAATGAAATGTGGAATGGAAGCTCTGAGGCCCAGGGCCAGTGTCCTCTCCCACACATAAAACTGGCATTCAGATAACCAATATACAGATAACATCATCTCCCCTGACATAAAATCTTTATAATAGTGCCAAGAAATATTGTTTGGTTCTCTGAATGCCAGGCCCACAGTCTTGTTCTCAACCTCCTTTCGTTTAGCTAAGAAAGATTAAAGTCTAGGATTTGTGTTCTAAGGCTGTGGTCCGTAACTAAATAACAATGAACTTACCCTAAAGACAGGGACAATAATGTTGAAAACAAAGACCTATATAATCCACACCCTTCAAGAACAGTTACTATAATATTGGAATGTGAGTTTGGAGTTGTTGGATCTTTGAACCAAAATCCCAACCTGTTTAGATGGTTGAAAAGAAATTGTGAATACAGCTCTGAAAGCCAGGCAAGGATCGCCTACCAAAGCCCAAGTACTTGAGACGGTCGATAAGAAATTGCGATGAAATTAACTAACGCCCTATTAACGAACAAGTCCCATGACCCACACATTTAGTGTATAACAATCAAAAATTTGAACAGGAGCCAAGGCCTAATATCATCTGCACCGATATAAAATCCTCATAATAGTGTCAAGAAATTATGTTTGGTTCTCCAAAGGCCAGACCCAGGTTCTTGTTCTCAAGCTTCTTTCAATTAAGTAAGAAAGATTAACGTCTGGGATTTTTGTTCTAAGGCTCTGGTTCGTAGCCCAAAAACAATAAACCAAGCCTTAAAACAGGGACAATAATGTTGACATAAAAGACGTAACACCCAGTCAACGTTCCAGTAGCATGACCTGAGCATTTGGACACTAAAGCAGAAAACTTGGAATAGGAGCACTGAGGCCAGGTTCCAGCATCATATCACCAAAACAAAATCCCTTCGAATAAGGCCAAGACCCAGCCTGTTAGAATAGGAACTACAATATTTGAATGATAATTTGGAGGACAAAGCCCAGGGTCTTATAACTGCACTTCTGAACTGAGACTAAGGATGAAAAGAAATTGTGAAAGGCCGTTCTTCATTCTTCATAAGCATTAACTAGGGTGACCAAGCGTTTGTAATACTGAAATTGTCCTTATGTACGCTAAGATACACTGAAAAGGCGTTTACTACACTCCTCAAGCACTCAAACGCTTTGGAAAAGCATGGAGACCTATTCATTATTCACTTAACGTAAAGACACCATGATGATTCTAAACAGACATTTCTGCCAAAAAATACCTTTTGAATGTAATGCAAAACTGTAAATCATATTTTTAAAAAAAATATATGACGATTTTAACTTGGGTGACTACACCAGTACAATAATGCAGTCATCGTTTAGGCATTTCTTCCCTCTGAAAAGGCGATTCCAGCACTGTATAAGCGCTGAAACACTTCAGACATATGACTACTCCAACTTGGTTAACTACACCTGCACAATAAAGAAGTTGTGGTTTCAGGCGTTTCCTCACACTGAAAAGTCGATTCCAGCACTCCCAAAGTGCTGAAACGTTTCAGACACATGACTACTCCAACTTGGGTAACTACACTTGGACAGTAATGATGTTGTGGTTTCAGGTGTTTCCTCACACTGAAAAGTCGTTCCAGCACTCCACAAGCGCTTTGCAACAGCCTGAAGCCTATGCAGTATTCTCTTGACGTGAATTCATTATAATGATCAGAAATATATGCAATAACAAACTCTTTGTCTCCAAAGACACTAAAAATTATTAGGGAAGCCAAAACTGTATAAAACTGACATATTCCTTATGTATGCTCTAGGCTTGTCTAAAGAGTTTGAGCGCTTGAGCGCCTTAACCATGACTTCATTATTGTACTGATGTAGTCCTCCAAGGTAAAGTATTCATATTTTTTTCTTATGAAAATCTGATTTACGAACTGTTCCAATGCCTATAAAAGATATTTTATGGCAGAAAGAACTGTTTATGTTAAGAGAATACTGCATAGCGTTTCCATCCTTTCTAAAGTGTTTGAGCGCTTGGGGAGGCTAGCTCATGCTTCTGGAAGTTTGCCTGGGTGTTATGTCTTTCATGTCAACATTATTGTCCCTGTCTTGAGGTTTGATTTATTGATAGTGAGCTACAAACCAGAGCCTCAGAACAAAAATCCAATCATTTTATTTTTTGTAGCTAAACAAAAGAAGCTTGAGAACAAGATCCTGTAGTGGGCTTCAGATAATCAAACAATACTTTTTGGTAGTATTATAACCATCTGAACAGGTTGGGATTTTGGTTCAAAGACCCTGTGACTCCAAACCCCAATTCCAACATTATTGTCACAATTATGTTTTAATTGTTAAGTGTTGGGTACTATATAGTGGGCATGTGACCTTTGGTTCAAAGCTCAGTTTTAATTTGTTTTAATTAAAGGTCTGGGTCATGGTTACTAGGTCTTCTCTTCTCAATATTGATTCCCTATTCTACTGGAATAAGATCGGGGCCTCTGGGACTTTGTTTAAGGGATCATCTCCAATCTACCCCTTTCAAAATGAAATGGCTTTACTGAGTATTGGCTCACAGACTTCATTGCAATTTTTTTTCTTCCTTGATCTCAGTTCTCAGAGGTGCAGTTATATGATCCTGGGTTTTGGCCTCCAAAATAACA